CCCAAGAGTTTGAGGTTGCTGCGAGCTGTGACGCCACTGCACTCTACCCAGGGTGACAGTTTGAGACACTGTCTCAAAAAAAAAAAAAAAAAAAAGTTTGTTTCAGAAGTAACAAAAGTTCTTTTGGCCAGGAGTCTGTGACTAGGCATGACTGGACAGGACTCCTGTTAAATCCCTTTTCTTCTCTATTCCAGCCAGGCTCAGTGTGCAACAAAAGACACAAATAGGTGCATTTTCTCCAATCCCCTTTCTCTTTGAGAGGTGTTAGCTAAATCTTTAATATATTCAGACCCCTTTTGATCTTACCACTTTTAGACTCTTGTTTAATTCAGAAAAGATATAAGAACCATCTGTTCCATTTTTATAGGCTGAATTTTCTTTTGCTGAACAGGTAATATCCATAGAGCATAACAATCCTGAAAGCATATTTTTTCTCCAGCTTTATTGAGGTATAATTGACAAATTATTTTGTTGATTTGTTAAGCTTTTTGTTGGTTTTTGATCCTATAGATACATAAAGAATAAAATAACGCTCTTTAAATTTACTGCCTTTGACATTGAGAGAAAAATTTAAGAACTCAATAATTGTATTTATTAAACTGAGTGGCATATATATCTGAAAGAACAATAAGGTAATGCATTATATTTTTCACCAAAAATAAATAAAATTCTCAAGATTACTGTTTCTAGGCCAGGCGATGGCTCATGCCTATAATCCCAGCACTCTGGGAGGCTGAGGCAGGAGGATGAGATGTTCAGATGTTCAAAACCCCATCTCTACTAAAAATAGAAAAATTAACCAGGCTTTATGGTGGGTACCTGTAGGTCCAGCTACTTGGGATGCTGAGGCAGGAAGATTGCTTGAGCTCAGGAATTGAAGGTTGCTGTGAGCTAGGCTGATGCCATGGCACTGTAGCCCTGGGTAGAGACTCTGTCTCAAAAAAAAAAATTTGCTATTTATAAACAAGTACCATAATTTCAGCTAAATTTCATTATATTTGGAGAATTGATGAATTATCAAATTTGCTTTTTTATTTTTGTTTTTCTGATATTTACAGATGAGTACTTTTTTTTTTTTTAAAGTAACTTTATTTCAGGTTAATGTGAGGGTACAAACAACCAGGTCAAAGTATTTAATTATGTTAGGTAGAATCCCTCTTAATAGATGAGCACATTTTGTGAGTTTTTTTTTTTTTTTTTTGCTGATTTCTTTTCTCCTGTTTTTCCCATAAAAATAGCATAATTTCGTATAGTTCTTATTCTTAGTAAAACTTGGATACTAAGTTATGTTGATTTCAGTATGAATCAATCTTTTCTGGTTTGTTTTGTTTTGAGACATGGTCTTGTGCTGTCACCCAGGCTAGAGTGTACGACTGGGCCACAGCTCACTTTATAGTCTTAAACCCCTGAGCTCAAACAGTCCTCCCACTTCAACTTCTCCGGTGGATGGGACTACAGGCACACACCACCACATCCAGCTAAGAGATTTTATTTTTTGCTGAAATCAGGTCTCATTTTGTTGCCCAAGCTGTTATTGAACTCATGGCCTCAGGTAATACTCCTGCCAAATTGCTGGGATTATGAATGTCAGCTACTATGTCTTGCCATCCTGTTGTTAATGATTCAGGCTTGGGTTTTTGTTTTTGTTTCTTTTGTAATTTTAGGCTACTCGAAAAATTAGATTTTCCTACTATGAAATTTTCACTCTATTTCTTGGCTTATGAGGATAAAAATGACATCCCCAAAGATAAAGATGAAAAAATAGCATGGGTGTTCTCCAGAAAAGCTACACTTGAGCTGACACAGTGAGTATAAATATCTTTCTTTTTAGATTTTTTAAAAGATGATTTAAAAAAATCTTTTGTTATATTTTGTTTACTTACCACTTTAATTCAAACCAAGTCTACCTGATCACTTCAAATTTGTAACAATATACACTAGGACCTCTGTATGTTGACTACCCAAGGGACTGTAACAAACTGGTCAACATACAGAGGTGGTCAACATAAGGAACTGGGCTCCTAGCTAATAGATACATGTGGTACATGTCCAGTCTATGAAAATAAGATAAGGAGGTGGTCATTACAGGGATGTTGTCAGCTATCAAGGCTCTCCTGTATCAGAGTGTTTTTACTTGGCTCTTTTGGTCTTTGTGTTGTTCTTGTAGCATAGGCAGGGCAAGTGGGCTCTTTTGTCTTTTAGATGCAGGATATAATGGCCTGAAATGGTAAGATATTTGCCAAACTGTAGCTAACTAATATTTAGGTACTATATTTAAAGTCTTCTAGCATCCAAAATTTTGTCCTTTTAAGAATTTGCTGCATTTTTGATCCAGAAATGGTTATAGCATATGTTCCTTTAAAATGTTGTCAAACCATGTTATAATAATACTCAAATTTTAAGGTATTTTATAATTTCAGCATTTAAAATGTGGAAATTTTCTTTATGTTGTTTCTCTGCACTCTTTAACAACTACCAAAAAAACATTTTGTTTTATAGTATATGATGTAGTATGCCTCTCGATTTAAAGCAAAGCTTTTGGAATCAAACAGACCTAGATATGAGTCTTGGCTCTGACACTAGGTCTGTGACTGTGAACGAATTTTATCATCTCCCATAAGTGGCAGTCTCATTTATAAAATGAAGACTTTTAAATCCAGATCTAGGGAGCTGTTTTGAGGGCTTAATGAATTATGAAGTACTTAGTGCAATCAGTGATAGTTGCTATTATTATCATTATTATTCTTATACAGATGCCTAGTTTTACTGTCTCCTTAGTCTAGTTAAAACCTTTTCCCATTTGCCCTTTCTTTCTTTTTTTTTTTTT